CAAGGTCAGCTGATGATCACGTGTTACTGCTTACAAGGTCAGCTGATGACTACGTGTTAATGTTTACAAGGCTAGCTGATGATCACAGCGGCTAATGTTTACAAGGTCAGTTGATGATCACGTGTTAATGTTTTACAAGGTCAGCTGATGATCACGTGTTATGTTTACAAGGTCAGCTGATGATCACGTGTTAATGTTTACAAGGTCAGCTGATGATCACGTGTTAATGTTTACAAGGTCAGCTGATGATCACGTGTTAATGTTTACAAGGTCAGCTGATGATCACGTGTTAATGTTTACAAGGTCAGCTGATGATCACGTGTTAATGTTTACAAGGTCAGCTGATGATCACGTGTTAATGTTTACAAGGTCAGCTGATGATCACGTGTTAATGTTTACAAGGTCAGCTGATGATCACGTGTTAATGTTTACAAGGTCAGCTGATGATCACGTGTTAATGTTTACATAGCTGGCAGCAACACGAAGATACTACAATGTTTACTTTTTCTATCACGTATTAATGTTGTGTGGTGGCGTCAAGCTTATTATTTGTGAAGAATTAAGCTTAAAATTGGAGCCCCGCACGCCATCCCACCACCACACACGCACGCCCTACCACGCCTACACGCCAACCCACCACCACCACCACACACGCACGCCCTACCACGCCTACAGGCCAACCCACGCCCACACACGCACGCCCTACCACGCCTACACGCCAACCCACGCCCACACACACTCAACCACAGCCACAAACACACTTAACCACACCCATACACTTAACCACGCCCACACTACACCACACCCATTTCCGACTAAATTCCTTGCATGCTCGTTCGCTTCCTAACGAAAAATAATTGACACGTAACCGAGAGAGAGAGAGAGAGAGAGAGAGAGAGAGAGAGAGAGAGAGAGAGAGAGAGAGAGAGAGAGAGAGAGAGAGAGAGAGAGCCAAGTTAAGAGATTAAGTTAGATGCATTCTCTCAGGTGTCCAGTTAATGTATAAAAAAAAATTACTTACGATAATCTAAGACTGTTTATGGCGTAAGTTAATGGAGCCAGTTATAGACGTCCTCAGGTGTCTAGTTAAGGTAAAAAAAAAATTCACCTTACGATCTTCCAAAGACTCGGTAAAGAGGTCAAGAGGTCAAGAGGCAGAAGGAGAGCCACCTGGGGGAGGAGGCTATATGCAGAAGGCGGTGAAGAGGCAAATCTTTCTCGCTTTTAAATGGCTCGATACACATTATTATGGCGCCTTTTTGTGTCTCGTGGTGCAATTTAAGGCGTCTTTTATGTCTTAAGATACAATTTATGGCTCATGG